AGATAATGAGCTTATGTCTCATTAAGAGTACCAGCAGCTTGTAAACAAAAGAACAAGTGTTTCTATGATAAGTCGATGTAAAGAGTACTGCTGTCTTCTAGCAGATAATTTGACTGGAGAGAGTACTTCATAACAACTGAATCTCTTAAGGGAGAAGATCTATCATGGAAAAAGATAGAGGAGATATTAAAGTGCATGGAAAAACAGACTTTTGACTTAATTTTCTTCCTCTGAAGATGAAGGATATCTGACAGTGAAATATAAGGTGAGCACACAATTCTGAGACTAGAACTTTGCTCTATAATATTATCTGCTTTCCCCAACCACCTGGATTAAAAAAAAAAAAAGACACCAAGTGTGAATGTAAGTAATGAATATGAAAATGTAAAAAAAAAAAAAAAAGCTGTACATTTAATAAAAATTATTCTATTTCCTGCCATGGAGGTTTTTTTATTATAAAATGGTGAGAAAGTTGATCAGGGAATTTACAACTGAGCATGAGATAATCGTATTTTTACTACATGTTTGGGTTTAAAGAGGATTTAACTCCAAAACAAAAGTTAGTTTGGCAAGAGATATTGCCTTCACCGATTTACAGATGTGATATACAAGTCCAAACGTAATGGAAGAGGTTGCCTTATTCTACAAAAAAGCCCAAATAAACCCAGGATCCATTTCCCTCCCTTCACCTAAGACAGCATATATTGTCATTAGAAGTCATCACAGATCCAAAACAAACCCCCCAAAAACCTCTTGATTGATCACTTAAATCACTAAAGGCCCAGAATGTATCTACAGATTTATATACCAATATTCACAGAAAATGTTTTAACAGAAATTCAGCAGTCAGAACAGTAAAGCCATTAGGAAGAAATCACTGTTTCCATGATCAGCATCCTGCTGCGCTACATTAACACGGACTGCTGTTGTAGGTTATCTTCTCCAAAGCAGACTCCGTATTATTTTGGTTTCTCAGAGGAAGTCTACCTTCTCATAGATCTTTTCAATGAGGGTTAACATGTTCTTCATGTCAGCTGACTGCTGAATAGTGTTCATATCCTTTAAAAGGCCTTTCTGATTTTTTATCTTCAAAATTTCTTCCTAAAGAAGGAAAGAAAGAATAACAGATAATAAAAAACAGCTTTCATTGAGTCCAACAGAAATTTCACTTTCATGCAGCCTAGCTGTATTTAAATAGAGCTAAAATAAAAAGGATTCAAAGACACAGAATTAAGACAGTCTTCCTTCCATCAGTTACAGAGATATATATGATTACAGGTTCCCTAGGACCATAGGGCTCCTAGGAAGAGACATGTGACCCTTTAAGTGGCAGGGTTTTGAGGGTTTTGTTCTGTTTTTAACACTTAAGCATATAGTTCTCAAGAAAAAAAAGAGAGAGAGGAACAAGAGAGAAAACTTCAGATATTTCAGAATTTTCAGAATTGCACCCTCTGGCAGAGGTTAAGTGATACAAGCACGTTCTCCTGCCTTCCTTCTCACAGCCAGGCTGTCTCTGAAAATATATTCCATGCTCACCTGCAAAGTGGGTGCCTGTAAACTGCGCTTGGGGAGTTCTGGAAGGTGGAGTGCTCCACTGCCATTTTCCTGGAATACCTAGAATGGGAAAAAGAAAAAATAATCCAAACCCAAACATCAGGCACACAAGTAGGAAAACAAACCAGCTGTTATCACCCAACTTCTGAAAACTAAACATCTTAATTTTGCAACTCAAGAGGGAAAGACTGAAAAGTTACATTCCGAAAGACAGATAAGGTTGACGCTCTCAGCAGAAACAGCTTGTATCAGCTAGCTCTGGAAACACCTTCTCCTTGGAGAAATGCACCAACATCTATTGGAAATACCTTCCTGGCCTTTTTTTCATCTTCCTCTAACTGGTTCTTGAGCACCTGGATTTTGTACTGCAGCTGTTGTATAGTTTCTTCAATGTGTTCTGCTGATCGCTCAGCTTCATTTATTTCTTCCTAAGATAAAATAGACATAAAAACAGAATAAAATTTCCTTTAGAGATGGTGAGCCTTTTGTGTATAAAATACTGATAATAAGCATCAGTTGAGTCACTAAAAAAACATCCAAAAAGATACACTGCTTTATAGCAAAGGTGGGTGACGATGCAGTGGACAACTCCTCCACAAAAGCACAGGCATAGCCAGCAGTTCTTCTGCTAAAAAGTTACAAAACACTGAGCAGCAGCAGACGGGTAAGACACTTTCTTCCCTTCATACCTGCAATTGTACCAAAGACTCTTCATTTGTCTCAAGCATTTGTTTCTCTGCCATTTGAAGGCCTGGGACATTCTTCAGGTTGCCCAGCTTCCCTGGAGGCACCTTTAAAGTCTTGAAAAATCTCAGCACCCTTTATTAGAGAAAAAGGAAAGCATGACTTGTTTGGAGTTCTTTGCAAAACAAAAAGAAAACTGGCTAATGACTTCTCTGGCAAAAAACTTAAACTCAATTTAGCCCCATTGCTGCCAGTGAAATAACAGGATCCAGACAGCAAGAAAAGCTGTCTTGGATTGTGTTCCAAATACCGTGCAGAATAGATTGTCCAAGGAAGGCACCAGGAACAAGAAAACCCACCATTCTAACATTTGCTAATACACTGACGTTGTGCTGTTCCAACCTTATTGGCCTGTACAGTCCCTGACTGTAATTTGACATTAACTAATATTTTCCCAGTTGTGACCTTTCTGCTTTTCAAAGTAAAACTAAGTTCTAAAAGCAGCATTTTTAACTGGTTCCATGCAAAAACATTTTAGTTACATCATATTTCACAAAAGTATTTACAGATTTTTAGTTTTATGCCAAAGGAAGAGTTTTAGCTTGCTCTCAAAGATCCTTCTGATTCTGAGGAAGACTTGAATTCTTCCAGGTTGGATCTGTCTGTTAGACACACACTGCCACAATTTCCATGCATCTCAGATGAGACTGCAGGAGTTTGGCAACTCAGAAATCAGACCAAACATGTCACAAATTAAACGTTAAAAAAAAAAAGAAAGAAAAAAGAAAACCATTTATGAAGAACTAGCTCTTCATGTTAGAATCCCGAGGTACTGTAATAACAATGAAAACAATATAGATGCTCAGGCTCTATGTTGATAAGAGTCTAGTATATCAACACACATGCACACAAAAATTCTCAGACACTCAAGCATACATAATTACTCCCAAAATGACATAAATTACTCCCAAGACAAAATTTCATGTCTCTGAAGTAACTTCAACAGACAGAAAATTAATTAGCATTTAAGAAAATTTAGCTATAACTGGTCTCACTACTATTGTAAAATGATAACAAAATAAATAGCCGCCCACAAATTTAAACCCTGTATAAAGAGTACAAAGCTGATTCAAGGAGATCTTAAGAATACCTCCTAGGTTCTGTTACTCATATAGAAGTAGTTGAAGTGGGTCTTTCAACAACTTTTGCTTGACCACTTCAATCAAGGTACTGCCAAGATATTTCCCTCCTTGATTTTGCATCAATTCTCCCTTCCAAGATTTTCTAAATGTGATTGCTCCCAGGAGGAATTCTGTAAGCATGGTACAAAACAACTGGGTAAACTAAATCCCTTCTCTCCCTCTTTTTTTGTTTTGTTTTCTTTTAAAATTATAATTTCTTACTTTTCTTTCAGTAAATTGAGATGCTTCTGAACATCACCTTTTCTCTCACTTTGTTGGCACAAAACAGATCTGGAAGGAAAATAAAGGCAGAACTTTCATCACAAAGCCTGCAAGCACAGAGAACACATCAAGCGAAGTAAACATAGTCAGAACTTCTCTAGCTAAACATGTCCAACTTCAGATAGAAAGTGTTAAATTATACCAGACAAAATATACAGAGTCAGCCATACTGCCCAAAAAAGCTCCGAAGCTTTTCCAGTTCAAGCAATGTTATGATTTTTATTTTATTCCTTGTAAAAACAAAGAACCACCACAGGGACAGTTGCCACTTACAGAATTGCTGAATCCATTACAGTTTCCAGAAACTGCCTAGTGCTCTCTGAGAGAGTCTGCCAAGATCCTATTTTAGTGCTGGTTAGCTTCACCTTCTTTGAAGAACCTTTTTCTCCTGGTAACACAAAGGAAAAAAGGAAAAGATATGATTTGTCAAACCTGGATAGACAGCTTTGTGACTCAGATCATAGTCAAAGGTGTAACAGTTAAGATTTTTCCATGTCACAAAGCCATCAGAAACCTGGATAGACAGCTTTGTGACTCAGATCGTAGTCAAAGGTGTAACAGTTAAGATTCTTCCATGTCACAAAGCCATCAAGACAAATTTATCTACATTAGATGGTACCTATTATTTGCAAGTCATAAGTTGTTTAAAAAGCACAAAACAGAACAGATTCTTTCTACCGTAGTTTCATTCTAAACAGATACTATCCCAAAATCGTTGAGGATACAAGTGACAAAACCCAGAATGAAATAAAAAGAGTGGGAATATACATAAGCGAGAAACTCAAATGCAGCAGGGGCCTCATCTCATTTGTATGTTCAACACAACACATGCCAGTCTTAAGACAGAAGGTTAACAGAGAAATAACCTGTGACGAGAAAGTAAAATGTTCTGGGTGCTTGTGGTGGAATTCTACAAGAGAAGAGCACTGCTTGCAAACAAAAGCCTATGGTTAATATGTGCATATGCAACACATAATATGAATGCACACTGGCCAAGCATACACTGCAAATACTCGCTGTTACTGTTCAGAAAGAAAACTGAAAATTATTTCAGTGACATCTCAGACATCTGTGATTTCAACACAGCAGTTACTACTTTCACTTTCAGTGGTTTTTTTTCAAAACATCTGATTTTGCATGAGACAAACATAAGGAAAGAATACAATCCTACCTGGAGGGGAATAGTCTCCGTGTTCCTTAGCTTTCCTTTTGACTGTCTGAGTGACCTGATGTAAAGAAAAAATTACAGCAAATACGGTAATTTTGCTGTGCAACCATTCATTTACTACTAGCAATCCGCTATGAAAAGGCTGTCAAAGCACTTCAGTGCTTGACAGAAGGTTGTTGCTATTGATCACGAAAAAGGCTTTTTAACAGAACTGTAAAACAATAATTCATCTCCAGCAAAACAGGGAAAGCAATTCGCAACTCTTAGTTCCACCCATTCAAAGAATGAGGTCATGAAATAAGAAATGCACAAGATATTTGGCTATCCAACTGCATCTTGAGATCATGCCATTCATAAGCAGTTAAGCAAGCTCTCTCCAACAGAAAACTGCCTAGGCCAATCCTGAGAGATGCAAAGAATATTTTCCAGAACTGAATAAACATCATCTGAGTTGCATGAACTCTGATTTTATCACTCTGTTCAAACAGATGCTATGCAGCTCTTCAAAACAGCCAGCTTGCCTTTTTATTGATTATCAGGCAATGCTTCACTCTACTTGTCACAGGCATCGTGGCATGTGACTAGAAATTCTGAAAACCAGGGAGCAGCCAAGGCAGTGAGTCTCAAAACAGCTGTTCACACTAGACATTTCCTCAAGAGGACTGTATTTAGTTAAGAAAATATTTCCTATAAATTCCAGTAGAAAATTGGGCAAAATTGCCTTCCCCCAGCCCCTTTTGGTTACTTTTGTAACTTATTTGATACAAAATAATGATTACCTTTCTTTTTTGACCTTGTTTTCTTCCTTCTTCATCTGTTCCCTTTTTTTTGCTGGAAGACCCTTGCTGATTTTGTGATTTAAAGGTTTTTTTTGCTGGTCCTCCACCAGTGGTCTCCCCCATCTTACCAGAGGATGCGTGGTGGCGTTTCATTATCTGTAAACCAAACATAACAGGAAGAAATAAAAACAAAATTAAAATCCAATTATAATCCATGCAGCACAAACCACACGCTAACAAGCAAAATGATGGAAATTCCCTGTACTAAATGAGCCTGAACATTTGCATATTCACTATCCCAAAGTCTAAATCTTGTATATTTATTTAAGTGCAAGGCCACAAAAAAAATCCCCGTTTACCTTTTAGGCAAGTCTTTGTGTGCTCAACATTTAAAAGTCAGCATATCTGTATGCCAAAGAGCAGCAATGGAAATGGAACATTAACTACACTGAGAACAGCCTAATTTGTTCTTAAAAGCCTCCAACAATAGAAATTCTTTATCTTTCTAATGCAGTTCAGTGCAGTCATCCTGCTACCTGAACTTTTTACCCTAGCACCTAACCATAACACTCCTTGCTGCGGTTTAAACCCATAGTTTCTCTTCTTACTCACTGTAGAGATGGAGGAAAAAGAAGTCAGACAAAAGAGAGTAATCATTACACCCCACTAACCTTCTCTTTTCTAACCACAACGACTCAGATGTATTCATTTTTCCTACCATACCCTCAGGCTGCTTTTTCCCTCGGGCAGAGGCCCCGTCACGGCTCGCCAGGCGACAGTCGCGACCGACACCAGGTAAGCAAGCCCTACCTCTACCCCCCCTCTAAGGAACTACCGATTTTGGGGGAGAGCGTTTACGGAATACCTCAGCGTGCGAAGCGCGGACTACAACTCCCGGCATGCATCGCTGCCCGCCACCGCTGTGGCCCAGGCCCATCGAACGAAACGCACGCTGGGAGAAGTAGTCTTCACCACTCACGCCCCTCATATCCCCACAAATTCTGCTCCCCGTTGTTGCCGGATAACACCGCGCGAACCTCCACAAAACCTCCCACCAGCTCATCCCGTCCC